TCGCAATATTTGTCTTCTATCGGTTCTAACGAATTGGATAAAGGGGACCCAATGTTTCCGGTTTATAAGTTTATTTTACAGGAAGGATTCAGAGAACGCAAGCAAACGGCACTATTTCAAAACCATTAGTGAATAATTCTGGAGTCTTTCGTGGTGCTGTGCTCTCTCCCTTGTTATTTTATACTGTTATCAGTGAATTACGCTCAATTCCACCAGCCAAGATCTGTAAGTATGCAGATGACATTGTCTTATGTCAAGCTATTTCAAACCGATCGGACATAGAATCATTTTCTGACAGTTTACTACAAATGCAGTCATTTTCGAATCAATCCGGTCTCCGGTTGAATACTTCAAAATGCTTTGAATGCATTTTTAGTCTCTCCCGATCTGCTTATCCCTTGGAACCCTCAGTCATCAATTCCGTACACGTCACCAGAACACATACCACCAAATACCTATGAGTCACCATAGATAACAATCTGCTGGGGTCCCCTTATATGCTTGTGTGTGTTGGTAGACTACGTCGCTTATCTTTTCAAATATGCAAGCTACATTTTCGCGTCAGGCATGAAACTGCATGTTCCTTTGCTTATCAATTCATTTTTCCTGTCATACTTTATTGTTCGCCCGTTATTTTCCCTGGACTACTTAGAAAGGATTTCATTACTTCACCTCGCGGTTTGGTAATTATCAGCCGTGTTTCTCTTATTCCTTTAAACACTGATCACAAAATCTTGTAATCTGCATATCATTTCATGTGGGAATTTCGCTCATAAGATACTCAATGACCCCAGTCATCCGCTCATTTCCGATTTATCTACTTGCCGTTCCCACACTACAACTCGATCCAATTTTCGCTGCTTAATCTCCCGCATAAGCATTTATCGTAACTCAACGGTTCCCTATCTGGCTCGTATTCTCACTGACACTGCGAGGATCCGTAGCGAACTAATATCAAATCTACAAAGATGAACGCCTATTTAGTTTTATCACTGCTGTATACGAATTTTCTTTTCATTTTTTATCCCATTGTAACGGTGAACATTTTTGACTGAAATGTAGGCACAGTTGCCTGCAAAAGTCATCTATAATATAATAATACAATACAAAAAAGGATGAGATCCTCAGTTTCACATGATATTAGACAACCGTTCGGGCAGTTTCAGGACGAATTAAATGCACCAAAAAACCTGTCTTTGACTGAGGCTAAGTGGGATTACCTCAAAGAAGCAATTTTCCGAACGTGTATTGCACAATTCCTGGTTTTGCCACAACCGCAGAGGGCTGAAAACCTGGCTTAGAACCGTCAAATTCTACATGGAGGACCTGCAACTCCAGAATCTCTAGGGAATATGCCCTTGGAATCATACATAGTGAGCTCTGTTTCAGGACCTAATTTCGAGTTACCGTGCCTGAACAGCTGTGGTCCAGGAAAACGATTCGTCTCGTAAGACGTGGCGGAACTAAATTAAAAGTAACTACTCTTGAGCTCCTGTGCTGCTTGTTTCCTTCTGGTCAGAAAAATGGTCAACCAAGGTTGTAACGTTCAGGAATTGACTGAAGAAAGAACTCTATGAGACGTAGAAAAAATTTCAAAAGAAAAGATCATATAACTATACTGCACGATTTACGTCCAGGACAATTTTGCTGCATCCCAACATGGTGCATACTGCAGTAAAAGGTAATATCTATATGGACCTTCAGTATGGTAACAAAGTAAACTAAAATACACTGAAACAAACAAGCATAAAACAGGAGGGGTAAATATACAAAATACAAAATCTAATTCATTGCATGGGCAGCACTATTTACGGCCCTCCGCCGTAAAATCCGGTAGTCCCATATTGTAATGAAGGACACTTGGAGCCGAAATATTTGCGCTGCTTTATCTAACTAAACCATCCTCTGTACTT